GTGTGTGTGTGTGTGTGTGTGTGTGTGTGTGTGTGTGTATTTAAATAGTTTAATAAAAAAAGAAACAAAACTAAAAAGTTTTCTACACTGCCCTGGAAAAATGCTTGAGGTCAAGAATTTACCACCAGCCTGGGCAACAAGGGAACACCCTACCTCTTTAAATAAAAAAAAAAAAAAAAAAAAATTATAGGCTGGGTGCAATGGCTCACACCTGTAAACCCAGCACTTTGGGAGGCTCACGCAGGTGGATCATGAGGTCATGAGTTGAAGACCAGTTTGAGCAACATGTTAAAACCCCATCTCTACTAAAAATACAAGAAAATTAGCCAGGCACAGAGTTGGGTGCCTGTAATCTCAGCTACTCCGGAGGCTGAAGCAAGAGAATCGACTGAACCCAGGAGACAGAGGTTGCAGTGAGCCCAGATCACGCCACTGCACTCCTGCCTGGAGAACAGAATGAGACTTCATCTCAAAAAAAAAAAAAAAAAAAAGGCAAAAACAAAACAGAAACATTTTTAATAGTTTACTGCCCTGGAAAATTCTTCCTAATAACATACCCAAGAAGGCTGAACATCCTGTTTTTATGGTATACTCTATTCTAGTAATATTACCAACGATGGGTGAATAGTGACAAAAATGGTAACTGAAGGTATCTCTTTCCAATCCACGGAGGATTTCCAAACCCTTTTTCATCCACTCTGTTAATTAAGAAGCAGCTTGGTAGAATCTCCAAGAAAACCTAGGGACTGTTGCTTCCATCCAGATCAACAGAGCATTGCCTCAAACAGTGGAAAGTCACATTTGCAATCTCAAATTTACCTGTATTTTCCACAATTCTTGACAAAAGGAAAGACGGGAGAACATATTGTGTGCCAATAAATACTGAGCCACCTCTAACAGGGAAGACAGCTTCTTCTGAAAAGAGAGATTAAATGTTTTTAAAAACAGAGACAAATTACCTGAAACAATATATAAATTTTTTTGAAATGAGTCTCACTGTCGCCCAAGCTGGAGTTCAGCGGCACGACCTCAGCTCACTGCAACCCCCACCTCCAAGTTTCAAGAGATTCTCCTGCCTGAGCCTCCCAAGTAGCTGAGATTACAGGCATGCACCACCGTGCCCAGCTAACTTTTATATTTTTAGTAGAGACGGGGTTTCACCATATTGGTCACGCTGGACTTGGAACTCCTGACATCTCAATCCGCCCGCCTCAGCCTCCCAAATTGATGGGATTACAGGCATAAGCCTCCACACCCGGCCTTACCCGAAACACTATTAAAGAAATGTCCTATTTTCCCAACCAGCTTAAAAGCAACAAGGGCAGGTTTCCTCATGTTTGCTGGTCTTACTCTCTGCTCCACGGTCAGCAGTACAGGGTGGCTGGGATCCACTGGAGCCGCACAGATCTGTCCCACACCAGAGGCAACCATCGTGGCTGACAGAATACCCACAGGAACCCCCAGCCGTGAGGCCTGATCCTGCAAGGCAGAGCCTTAAAGACAAAACAAAACCACAGCTTTCTCTTAAAACATGAGACAAAATCTAAAACAAACGACTTACAGTTTAAAATGCCTTATTTTAAGATGAGGCACAGAAAACTGCCTTTCAAAGGGGCAGAACAGGTGCAAAGGGAAAAACATGAGATAAACATTAGAATCTGACAACCCAAGCAGCTCACAGTACAACTGGTGGCAGCACCTGAACCCAGAGCTATGCATTCTATATGTTACGTTTCCCAGGACACAACATGAGCAAGACAAAGAAACTTATTATTCTGACCGAGAACTTGATCATCTTTTTCCAAAGGAGCATAACAAATGGAGAACTCCAGCAGGCTCTTTCAAATACACTGTTTTACCCATTACTTCAAGATAAGCCTATTCCCCTTGACTCATATTACTGTTTCATGTCAAAATGAGGCAGGGATTTCCCAATGCTCTGCCAGACACCTGGGAGGCAGCAGTCGTCACCGGTGTGTTCAGTCCCCAGGGCCACCAGGTGGAATCTCACTCACAGCCCACAGGCAGCCACAATTCTCTGAGCAACTAGCATCTGGTCTGCACTCAATAAAGTGAGACATGGTGGGCAACGTGGAAGGGGCAAAGTCAACCATTTTCTAATTTATTTGCCTTCTAAAATTAATTGCTATTTTTTGAGATGGTGTCTTGCACTGTCGCCCGGGCTGGACGGCAATAACGCTGTCTCAGCTCACCGCAACCTCTGCCTGCCAGGTTCAAGCGATTCTCCTGCCTCTGCCTCCCAAGGAGCTGGGATTACAGGCACGCACACGCCACCACGCCTGGCTAATTTTTTGTAGTCTTAGTAAAGACGGGGTTTCAGTATGTTGGACATACTGGTCTGAAATTCCTGAACTCGTGATCCACCCGCCTCAGCCTTCCTGCTGGGATTGAGAGATCCAAGATGGCTGATTACTAGCAGCTCAGGACTGTAGCTCCCAGTGAAAGCGCAGAGAACGAGAGGACGCCACATTTTTAGAAGAATTTTTGTTGCTCACGTACCAGGAGATTCCCAGCGGAGGAGCCCCACAGGTCATCTGCGCGACTCTTGTGGCCGGCAAGGTGGTTTTGCTGCTGCCTTGATGCAGCGGTTTTTGGTGCAGAGTCAGAGAAGCACCATCAATCTTAACGCCGCTATTTTGGCCGGCGCAGTAGGTTGCTCAGATTTTAGCGCTGGGAATCAACAAGTTGGACATCCACTCAGAAACCCAATTATAAAGACAGTAATTATAAAGACCACAGATGGATAAATCTATAACGAAGGGAAGAAAACAGCCTAAAAAGGGTGAGAATACCCAAAATCAGAATGCCTCTCCCTCTACAGGGGATCACAGTTCCTCATCAGCAACAGAATAAGGCCTGATGGAGAACACGTGTGTTCCATTAACAGAAGCAGGCTTCAAAAGGTGGATAAGAAACTTCAGTGAATTAAAAGAACTTGTTCTAACCCAATGCAAAGAAACTAAGAACTTTGAAAAAGGTTTGACAAAATGTTAACAAGAATACACAATTTAGAGAGGAATATAAGTGAATTAATGGAGCTGAAAAACACGAGAACTTTGCGACGTATGCACAAGTTTAACAGCTGAATTGATCAAGCAGAAGAAAAGATATCAGGTCGAAGGCCAACTTAATGAAATAAAACGAGAAGACAAGATTAGAGAAAAAAGGATAAAAAGGAACGAGCAAAGTCTCCAAGAAATATGGAACTATGTGAAAAGACCTAATCTACGTTTGATAGGTGTACCTGAATGTGATGAAGAGAATCAATCCAAGCTGGAAAATACGCTTCAGGATATTATTCAGGAAAACTTTCCCAACCTAGCAAGGCAGGACAATATTCAGCTCCAGGTAATACAGAGAACACCACAAAGATATTCCTCAAGACCAACCTCAAGGCACATAATCACCAGATTCACCGGGGTTGAAATGAAGGAGAAAATACTGAGGGCAGTCAGAGAGAAAGGTTGGGCTACCCACAAAGGGAAGCCCATCAGACTCACAGCAGATCTCTCAGCAGAAACCCTACAAGCCAGAAGAGAGTGGGGGCCGATATTCAACATCCTTAAAGAAAAGAACTTTCAACCCAGAATTTACATCCAGTCAAACTCAGCTTCATAAGCGAAGGAAAAATAAAATCTTTTGTGAACAAGCAAGCACTCAAGAGATTTTATCACCACCAGGCCTGCTTTACAAGAGCTTCTGAAAGAACCACTACACATAAAAAGGAACAACCAGTATCAGCCTTTCTAAAAAATACCAAAAAGTAAAGAGCATCAACATAATCAAGAATTTACATAAACTAATGGGTAAAACAGCCAGCTAACATTAAATGGCAGTATTAAACTCACATATATTATTATTAATTCTAAATTTAAATCGACTAAATCCCCCAATCCAAAGACACAGGCAAAAAAAGCCAAAACCCATCGGTATGCTGCATCCAGACCCATCTCACATGCAAGGATACACAAAGGCTCAAAACAAAGGGATGGAGAAAGATTTACCAACCAAATGGAGAGCATGCATAAATAAATAAATAAATAAATAAATAGCAGGAGTTGCAATTTTTGCCTCTGATAAAATAGACTTCAAAGCAACAAAGATCATAAGAAGTAAAGAAGGATACTATATACTGATAAAACGATCAATGCAACAAGAAGAGCTAAAGATCCTAAATATATACGCACCCAGTACAGGAATACCCAGATATGTAAGACTTATAAATAGACTTAAGACTCCCACACAATAATAGTGGGAGACTTCAACATCAATATTAGACAGATCAATGAGACAGAAAATTAACAACGATATCCAGGATTTGAACTCAGATCCGGAACAAGTAAACTTAATTAACATTTATAGAACTCTCCACTTTAAATACGCAAAATATACACTCTTATCCGTACCACATCACACCTATTTACAGGTTTAAATACAATATTGGTTGGTTGCTTGTCTGCTATTTTCTTTCCTCATTTTTTTTTTCATGTCCCTATTATTAAGCACAGTTATGAGTATACCCATTTTTAGATTGCATTCTAGCCTGGGCAATAAAGCAACACCCCCGTTCTCTCTCCCTCTTCCTCGTTCTTCCTCTCCATTTTTTTTTTATTCATTTTTTTTCTTTTCTAATTAAAAAAAAAAAAAAAAAGGAGAACATATTTGCAAATTGTGCCTCTGACAAAGAACTAATAATATCTGAATCTGCAAGAAAACTCAGACAACTCAATAAGAAAACAACCACCCCATCAAAACGTAGGCAAAGGACATAAAAAGATATTTTTTCGCCGGGCGCGGTGGCTCAAGCCTGTAATCCCAGCACCTTGGGAGGCCGAGGCAGGTGGATCACGAGGTTAAGAGATCGAGACCATCCTGGTCAACACGGTGAAACCCCGTCTCTACTAAAAATACAAAAAATTAGCTGGGCATGGTGGCGCGTGCCTGTAATCCCAGCTACTCAGGAGGCTGAGGCAGGAGAATTGCCTGAACCCAGGAGGTGGAGGTTGCGGTGAGCCGAGATCGCGCCATTGCACTCCAGCCTGGGTAACAAGAGCAAAACTCCGTCCCAAAGAAAAAGAAAAAAAAAAAGAAAAAAAAAGATTTTTTTTTTCAAAAGAAGCCATACAAGCAGCCCACAAACATAGGAAAAGATGCTCAACGTCACTAATAATCAGAAAAATGCAAATAAAAATCATAGTAGTTACAGCAGATAGCTAGTCAGACAGGAGCAGAGCAGTAGAGGTCTCCCCTCAACCCCAGTCCCACACACACTGAATTAGGCGACCATCAGGCGATGGTCAGGCAGTTGTTAACTATCTCTCTGAAATAATATTTGGTCACAGCCAGCACCAGGGAAAGGCAGTCTCCCAACAGACAGAAACACCTGAAGTTTGTGATCAGCAGTTTCCAGATAAGATCTCAGGATCTGGGTGAGTGGGCTCACATACATGCAAAAAAAAAAAAAAAACACCACCAAAGTGCTGGAATTACAGGCGTGAGCCACCATGACCAGCCAAATTGTTTACTGGTATGAGCCACCTGGCATGGCACTTTCAGAGGCTGAGGCAGGCAGATCACCTAAGGTCAGGAGTTTGAGACCAACCTGACCAACATGGAGAAACCCCATCTCTAATAAAAACACAAAATTAGCTGGACAAGGTGGTGTGCGCCTATAATCCCAGCTACTCAGAAGAGCAAGGCAGGAGAATCACTTGAACCCAGGGGACAGAGGTTGCAGTGAGCCAAGATTGCACCACTGCATTCCAGCCGAGACAGCAACAGTGAAACTCCACCTCAAAAAGACAAAAGAAAGGTAGACAGATCGGCCAAAGTGGCTCACGCCTGTAATCCCAACACTTTGGGAGGCTGATGTGAACGAACTGCTTGAGCTCAGGAGTTTGAGACCAACCTTAGCAATACGGCAAAACCCCGTCTCAACAAAAAAATTCGCCAGGCAAGGCAGTACACACCTGTAGTCCCAGCAACTCAAGAGGCTGGAGCGGGAGGATCACCTGAGCCCAGGAGGTCAAGACTGCAGTGAGCTGCGATCACACCACTGCTCTCCTGGGCAAGGGCGAGACCCTGTATCCAAAGACAAGACAAGACAGAAAGGCAGACAATACCATTTTCTTCTTTTTTTTTTTTTTTTTTTTTTTTGAGATGGAGTTTTGCTCTAGTTGCCCAGGCTAGACTGCAATGGCGCAGTCTCGGCTCACTGCAACCTCTGCCTCCTGGGTTTGAGCAATTCTCCCGCCTCAGCCTCCCAAGCAGCTGGGATCACAGGCGCTCACCACCCTGCCCAGCTAAAATTCATTAATTTTATTTTTATTTATTTTGTTGTTGCTGTTGTTAGAGACGGAGTCTTCCTCTGCTGCCCAGGCTGGAGTGCAGTAGCAGGATCTCGGCTCACTGCAACTTCCGCCTCCTGGGTTCAAGCAATTGTCATGCCTCAGCCTCCTCAGTAGCTGGGACTACAGGCGACCATGTCGACCTAATTTTTGTATTTTAGTAGAGATATGGTTTCACCATGTTGCCCAGTGTGGGTAACCCCACCTCTGGGCAACGAGGAGGAAGAGCTAAGCCGACCCCCAGCACTGTCAGTGCCTGAATAACTTACTGCTCATTTATTTCCTTTCATATGATCGTATCTTAGTCTGTAGACAAGAGTAGTAGCTAGAGCAGACATGACACAGAGCATGTACTACAGAAAAACAGCCATATCACGACAGAAGCAATGACCCAGGCAGTAGTGCCCCTGCCTGAAAGGGCATGCGCTACATGGCAGGTCGGCCCAGGGGGCAGCGTTCAGTATCATAAAGATACCCACTGTCGGGCCGGGCGCGGTGGCTCAAGCCTGTAATCCCAGCACTTTGGGAGGCCGAGGCGGGTGGATCACGAGGTCAAGAGATCGAGACCATCCTGGTCAACATGGTGAAACCCCGTCTCTACTAAAAATACAAAAAATTAGCTGGGCATGGTGGCATGTGCCTGTAATCCCAGCTACTCAGGAGGCTGAGGCAGGAGAATTGCCTGAACCCAGGAGGCGGAGGTTGCGGTGAGCCGAGATCACGCCATTGCACTCCAGCCTGAGTAACAAGAGCGAAACTCCGTCTCAAAAAAAAAAAA